CCAGTGCCTAGAAACAAATTATGAAATTAATTGGCATTCTGTCACCTTTTTCATTGCCTTCTCTGATGCTCTCCTCTACTTTCCCAACCTAAATACTTACACTCAAATCTAATTTACCACTGCAATCAACTAGTAGCCAATTAATAGCAGAGAAGTGAGTTAGTAATGCTCCCAGAGGTATCTGAATCTGAATATATATCACTTAAAAAATAAATAAACTTTCAATTAGCCTCAAAGGTAGTAGTTTTCAACCTTAGCTGTGCATTAGAATTACCTAGGGAGCTTTTAAAAATCTGATGCTCAAGCCACATTCATAAGGAATTAAATCAGAATCTTTGGGGGTGGGGCCCAAACACCAGAATTACTTAAAGTTCTCTGGGTAACTCCAATGTGCAGCCACATTTAAGATCCACTGCTTTACAGAAGGCATTTGAAACAATGAAATTTCAAGCTAGTGAAGAAGACATTTTTAAATGGGGATACATCATGCCACTCTGTTGAGGCTGACTACCAGTGAAAATACTCTGTTTAAGGCAAGACCATTTTTATTATGAAAGAAAATGCTACACTTAAAAAAAAATCACTAGAGACTCATTTGTCTAAGTCTGGATTTCAGCAAGTAACTTAACTTGAGTTTTACCTATAAAATAGAAATAATAATATCTGTCTATCTATGGTGCTGTTGAGGATGACCAAATGAAACGGCACCAGAAAATGTTTTACAAACTATATAACTATATTTATTATCACAGAAGCGAACTGTAGAACCATTTATCATTAAAAAGACTAGTTGTAATGTGTATCACAACTACAATATGGGTTATTACCTAAAAGACTTATCACTTTGTGTTAATAGACATTTGCTTTATGAAATCTAAGTTTCTAATGCAAGGATTCTCAAAGTATGGTTCCTGAACCAATAGCACCAGCATCACCTGGAAACTTGTCACAAATGCCAATTCTTGGAATCTACCCCAGATCTACCGAATCAGAAACTGGAGGCAGAACCTATCAATCTTGTTTGAACAAACCCTCTAGGTAATTTTGATGTACACTAAAATTTGAGAACCCCACAGCTAGCCAAACTTAGTAAAAACAGAATATGTATGCCTAAAATCAAAGGATGAATGTACAGTATTTGTTATTTGAATCTTTAGAAGTTAGAGTGCAAAGGCACACTTATAAATTACTAGTACGTTAAAAAACACACACCTAAATCTTTGTATTTTAAAACAATACAATTCTCACTACCCAGTCAACCTTTATCAATTAACACTTTAATCATGAATATAACGGTAGAATATAAGTTTGGTAGTGAGATAAACTATAGAGTATACAATACTTTGGATATGAAATAAAAACTCCAGAACTCTAACAGAACTAACAATGGTTCGGAAAATAGCCAAGCTTTAATTCAATGGGCTTGGGTTTCCCTCAGAGGAAGAGTCACAACTGTATCTTAAAAACCACATTTATCCTGAAGACAACACCCCATAGCAGGTCAATGTTCTTATTCAGGCTAAGGAAGTGTTTCATCACTGACTCAGGGAAAAGACCATTACTTGGACTGAATCACCAGCAATGTTTCCTGAAGCATTAGATTTGTCATTGGGTCTGCTAAGCAACAGAAAAACAGTCTCAAAACTTCTTATCTTAAAAGATCTCACAAAAAGAGCTGTCAACATTGCTCCTAAACACAAAGTCCAAAGGTCTTGCAATTAATAAAACATGCAGTTTAGTGATAGGTAAGAACACTGAGATGTCTTGTGAGACTGCAATAGAAAGTTCTTTGAGATCTTCCTTGTTTTCTCTTTTTCCATTTAAAAAACTTTGGCAGCCTCAAGACACCTAGCACCACCCCAGAAAGATGAGTGAAGTATTCCAACTGAGAACTAACTTTACTATCATCCTTAGTTCCTTAATGAAAACCAGGTAGAACTGACTTTTCCCTGAAAGATTCCTTAATGACAGATGAAGTTCCATTTACCACTACCAAGCAGATGACTCTGGATCTCTCTTTGATAAAGATTCCCGAGTCCCAAAAGATTTTACTTCCCTTAAACATATTCTTCCTGTATTTAAAGAACTTGTGGCTTAAAGTGGGGGTATGTCTTAGAAGAACTCCAATAATTGATATTGGTACTCTATATCGTAGGAAATACTTCCCACCTATTCAAAGTGGGGGAGGGAAAGAGAGAGAAAGAGAGAGAGGAGCTTGGTTTTATTTATCCATGCTAATCAAAATTACACTGTCTCTCCCTGGCAATCCTTTTGGCCCACCTCATGAGAAAAATAGCACCGCACACTGGAAAGAACTAGAACAAATACATAATTGCCAAAATAATTCCTTTTGTTCATTCACTCATTTAAAACTATTTATTGAGTGCCTAGCATGTGCTAGACATTGTTCTAGGTACAAAATGGGTCTAGAGAGATGCACAGACTTCAGTGATGAGGATGTGGGTTCTGTGTGTCTAGGTGTTAGGTTTCAGTTTCTCTGTCAACCAAGACCAGCGGTTCTCAAACTTGACCAAGCATCAGAAGCAACCCGAGGGTTTGCTAAAACACAGATTGCTGGGCTCCACCCAGAGTTTTGGTTCAGTGGGTTTGAGATAAGGCCCCCAAATCAGCATTTCTAATAAACTCTCAAGTGATGATGATGATGCTGGTCTAGAGACCATACTTTGAGAACCATTGACCAAGACAAATGGGAGCTCTTCACACTATGCCTGCCAACTTTTGAGTACTGTACATCTCTCTTCCAAAGAAGGTAATAGCCCCATGAATGCTGTCATAGTCACTTACAACTGAGCACAATTCCAATTCCCACCTCAAATATCTAGGATCAGTAACTTCAAAGAGAAGAAAGCAGTGTAAATAACAAAGAAAATTCTCTTTCCAGGGGCTTTTCTCCCTCCTTTTCTTTTGCTTTTTCCGCTATCACAAGACATCACTTTTCTATTATGATTTCTCAGTACAAGTGTTATGGGGGAAAATAACACTCATTTAAAATTTTCAGATTTCTTTACTTTAATAAAATCAAAGTCTCTTTTAAATTCAGTTCTCATAACTGATTTTTTTTTCTTTTTCGTTGGACTATCCCCTTTTTGAACAAAAGAATCATAGGGTTAGAAGGAACATTGAGAATTCACTTAATCCCTCCTTGGCCTCAGACAAGACTGTGTCTAAACCATCCCCAAATATAGCAATTTTTAGTACAAAGAACAGGCACTAAGAATTTGCCATTCAACATTCTGTCACATACTTGAAGATACTAATATACTTTCCCTCAGCCTTTTCTTTTCTAAGCTAATCAACCTCAACATTTAGACTTTCCTCATTTGATTTCCTAAACTTTAAATTATTTTGATTCTTCTTTAATAAGTTTATCTCACTTTACCTAGGGCCTGAATTATGTATGTACTATTATCAGGAAGATTCCTTTTTGGTATGTGAAAAGGGGAAAGTTAATTTGTAGATTGATTAAAAAGGAATTTAACTGGAATAAAGAAATACATATGTATAAATGCCTCTAAAGAATCATACCATGGCATTCACTTGAATAATTAACTCTAAATATTCTTTATTTTATTAAAAGAAACAGTAATGCCTTATAGTTTTTATATCTTTACATTACAAATAACCAACCATTTCACACATAAAACGGATGGGAATTAGAGACCTCTTAAAATATGCCACAAATTGTATATGACCATGTTTCGTGACACTTCACACAGGAGAAGACATTATTACCTATATGCTTTTTGTTTTTTAATTTTGGACACTGTTTACTACTGAATTTGGAATTGCAGTTAATCAATTATTTAATTCTGTATGAGTCTAAAATATTGAGTCTATTATATGAAAATCATTTCTGTGAAAATAATTTCTCTGATTCAATCCTTCAAAATCAGAGCTGTTAGAGATTCAGTGACACCAGGACAAGATAGGATAAAGTCCATGTTAAGTGATATGTTTCCAGGAAGTTTAGAAAGGGAAAATTAATAATACACTGAAATATGGGGTAAAATGGGACAATTCATTTTTTTTCAATTTCTCCCATTCTAAGTATCATTAGTCAAAACTGAATCCTTGCTTTTGGAATGGTGAGGTGCCGCAGTCTAGCCTAGGCCCGAAGGGTGGGACTGTTTCCTTGCCTATTGCAATCAAGGTGTACGGTGGAGGCGATGCATTTAGTCTCCAGAGAGAAGGAAGATGCTGCTTGCACAGCACTTCTACTCACCAGTCCATGCAGCAGCAAAGGTGTTGGCTTTGAAGGAAGCCAACTGTCCTGCTCTCCCAGCCAGAGGTAAAGAATTGCATTGGTGGCCACTAGAGGGAGGATTAGGAATAGAGTAAATTGCGGGGAAAAGGCACCCATGAAAAACGCACATGGGACAACCAACACATCACCAACCACCGCCTAGCAGCTACCTCTCTGAGGGACTGTCATGGGGGTCAGGATGCACCATTAACCCAGAGACCCAGACACCAGTCATGCCTGTAGCATCCTAGTAAACTGCCCCTTAACTGTGATGGCAGGAGATGGGAGTTTGAGTAGGATTATGGGAACCGCAAGCACACAAACACAAGCACACGGGCACACAGACACACATTCTCATCCCCCATTACAGGAAGTCGTATCTGTGCCGTCTGACTCTTGCCCATTTTCTTAGTTAAAACTCTTTGATGTTCTTTACCAAGAATATGTTCACGAAAAGCAAACAGCCCACCTTCAAGTTAGTCTCGGGAGAAGCACCAGCAGAGACACTCATTGTGCCAAGATGTATTTTACCAACAAATCTGTACAAATTACATGAGGTTAAAAACAAATGGAATATAATATAATTAAAGCACAGTTTCTCTTGCTAAATTACAGCTTGAAGCAAACCTGCAAGAAATGTTTCCAATTAGCTTCTTTAGCAAACACAAGGCATAGCTCACAACATATTTTGCTTCCCATCCTGCCCTCTGGGTGGGCTGCCTAGTGGGTGTCTTACCTCCAGCACAAGTAACAGAGCATTCTGACCAAGGCTGATGATTCCAAGTAAAGCCAACATCACTGTCTCCACTGCCAGTCCGAGTGATGGGAACGTTGAACTTATACCTAATTCCCAAATTCTGTTCTTGAATCAGAACCTGCCATTGAAAACAACTGGTGAAGATAATTAAAATACAATGAGCCTTCATTCAGATATTTATTATTTTTTTTGATGAAGATGTCATAAGTAAGTCTTATAGGAAATTTAAGATAACTTTTAGAACACATGCACTTATATTGAATTTTCTCCTTCTACTTTCATGGGTAATTTAGAGCCATTTCTCCCATTTACCTTGTTTGGTTATAAAAATTTCATTCAAGCAAGTATTGAAATGGTCACACAGTCATACAGAAGAGTGCTAAGGCTTTGACTTTACAAGGATTTTAAACACTTGGGCAAACCATTTTACCTTTATTTACCTAATTTCACCAACTATAAAGCAAAGGTAATAAAGAAGCAAAGACACATTTACCATGACAATGAGATTTTCTGAGGTGGGACCTTGAGCTTCCAAGGATTCTGGGTCATCAGTTGGTCTCTTGTAGTGAAACGCAGTCCCAGCAATATCAAACTTCCTAGGCCAGTCAATAGTCCAGGCACCATTGATAAAGTATTCATCCCTTTCAGATTTTAAAGCTAAAAAAAAAAATCACAGTACACCTAAAAATATGAAACTTTATTTACCACAATGTCACTCATTAATAACTGCACTGAAGTATACAATGAATATCCATTTCCACTTAGAAATGGGATTCTTCACTATTTTCTCAAGTAAAAATTAAAATGGTAATTTCCCATATGCCTGTCAGGAACATATTAAGTATTTATGATGTCACTGATAGAAAGGAATAAAATGAGAAATAAACATGGAACTAGTAAGGAAAAGTATGACAAAAGAAATAACTGGGAATCAGGGGAGATGTAGGAAGAAGATTTTCCTGTCCAAATATTAAAAAGTAATTATATGAATATGGGGTGTAGAGAAACTTTGGTACTGGTACACAGAGAGACAACAGTGAAATCAAACACGCAGTTAAGAAATAAACCCAAGCACATATGGGAATTAGTATATGACAAAAGAAGTATCTTAAATTAGTTAAAAAAAAAAAAAAAGATGATATGAAACTAAGACAAAAGACTAGCCATTTGGCAAAACAAACAAACAAACAAACAAACAAACAACACTGAATTTATATTTCCTTTGTTATAAATACCACAATTCCACTCTTATGTACATATCCAAAAGAAATAAAAATAAGTACTCAAACAAATATTTGCACATACATGTTTATAGTAGCACTATTTCCCATAACTAAAGGTAGAAGCAACTCAAATGTCCATAAGTGGATGCAAGAATAAACAAGTTGTGGTATGTACAATACAGCGAAATATTATTCAGCCATAAAAGGAAATGAAGTACTGATACATGTTTCAATGATGAATCTGAAAAACATTATGCTAAGTGGAAAAGGCTAGACAGAAAAAGTCACATACTCTAAACTTTCATTTATATGAAATATCCAGAACAGGTAAATCCATAGAGACAGAAAGCAGATTGGTGGTTACCAGGGACTGGGGAATGGGAGTAACCAGGGACTGGGGAATGGGAGTAACTGCTTAGCGGACACAGGGTTCTTTCTGGTGTGATGAAAATATTTTGGAATGTACCAAATCCCACTAAATTGTTCACTTTAAAATGGTTGAATTCTATATTATGTGAATTAAACCTCAATAAAAAGACAGTTTTAAAAAAAGAGAGAAAGAATAAATGCCAGATGGGTAAATATTTGAAAGTAAACAGTTGAATCATAAAATGCTCAGAGAAAATGTGGGAGAACTTTTTAAAAAATAACATTGGGATATAAAAAGCTTTTGTAAGCATGAAAAAACCCATAGAAACTATAAAGAAAAATATTAATAAATATAAATATGCATACATAATTTTAAACCTCTATAGGAAAAAATATATTTAAAACTATTGACAGAAAAGGTTATTAGCACTACTTAAAAGAAAAAAGCTGTGGTACGCATATACAATGGAATACTACTCAGCTATAAAAAAGAAGGAAACCTCACCTTTTGCAACAGCAAGGATAGACCTGGAGAGTATTATGCTAAGTGAAATAAGCCAGTCAAAGAAAGACAAATACCATATGATTTCAGCTACACGTGGAATCTAATGAACAAAATAAACTAACTAAGAAAATAGAAACAGACTCATAGATACAGAGAACAGACTAGATTGATTGTTGTAAGAAGTGAGGGGGTTGGGAGTCTGGGTGAAAAAGATGAAGGGATTAAGCAAAGGGAAAAAAAAAAACTCATAGGCACAGTATGAGTATGGTGATTACCAGAGGGAAAGGGGGGGTGGGTGAAGGTAGAAGAGGGTAAGAAGGTGATAGATGGTGATGGAAGGAGACTTGACTTGGGGTGGTGAACACACAGTACAATATACACCTGAACAAATGTAAAGACTTAAACAAATATACAGGTGAATCTTTACATGTATTGGAAGATAATATTTTTAAGGTGTCAATTCTCCTCACATTTATTTACCAATTTTATATAATCTCTTTTAGTAGAAATTAGCAAGTTGATTCTAAAATATATATAGAAATGTAAAAGACCTAGAAAAGCAAAAAATAATTTTGAAAAAAAGAGAACAAATTTGAGGACCAAATGCTTCCTATTTTTAAGACCTACTAGGAAGTTCCATTAATCAATACAATGTGGTTTTGGTCTAATGACTGACACATATATCAATGGGAAGGAACAGAAATAGATCCATACACTCATGTTCAATTGATCTCTATTGAAAGTAACAAGGTAATATCACTGAGAAAATAATAGTCTTTTCAACAGATGGTGCTATAGTAATTGAATATCCATATGAAAAAAGCTGAATCTCAACCCTTACTTTATATCTTACATAAAAACTCAAAATGGACCATATACCTAAATGTAAAAGTTAAGACTATAATTTCTTAAGGAAACATTGAAGACAATATTTGCAACCCTGGGGTAGGCAAAATTTCTATGGTAGGAGATGAAAGTACAAACCATAAAACACAATAAATTAAATTTCATGAAAATTAGAAGATACCATTAAGGACAGGAAATAAACAAGCCAATGACTGGGAAAATGTATTCATAAAATGTGTATTTGAACACAGACTTGTATAGAATATATAAAGGACATAATTTAATTTAAAAAAATTTAAATAGGCAAAATAATTTGTTTAGACACTTCATGCACAAAAATGATATCTGTATGGGTAAAATTAAGAAGACTTGACAATTTTGAAATGGATGGGAAACATCTGGAACTCTTCTACATTACTGGGGGGAATATAAATAATATATCCACTTTGGAAAACACTTCAGTAGTTTCTTATAAAGTTTAGCATGTACTTATCATATAACCTAGCCATTTCATTACTAGGCTTTTATCTAGGAGAAATGAAAGTATATGTCTGCACAAAGCTTGTCTATAAATGTTCAAAGAGATTTTATTCATAATGGTCAAAGACTGAAAATCACCCAAATATTCATAACAAGTGAATGGATAAAAATATTATGATACATCCACATATTGGGATATTATTTGACAATAAAAAAGATTGAACTTCAGATACACTCAACAATATAGATGAATTTCAAACACATTATACTGAGTGAAAAAAGTCTAGTATGAGTATCCACTGTATTATCCCATTTATGTGAAATTCCAGATAAATTAAATAGATAAGTCAGACAAAAGATCAGTGTTTTCCTAAGGCTAAGGCTGGGGGAGATTTTTACTGCAAAGGCAAATAAGAGAATGTTTTCAAGTCAGAAATGGTCTACATTTTGGCTGTGGTATATACACATAAATACATACATACATATATAAAATTTTCGGTACTCTTTGAACCGTACACTTATAAGGGGTGTACTTTATTATATGTAAATTATACCCCAATAACACTGATTTTAAAAATCAAATAACCAACCCAATGAAGAGTAAGCTGTAAACAATTATTTTCTGTGTGTAGTCCTCCCATGTGGTCCTATAGGACTTGGAACTTCATCTGAGCGTGGAGGTATTCCACCTCGAAGCAGCACCGCTCTTCCTTCATGATACTCTGCTGCCCTTCCTTGCTCAGTTTTGAAATCTAGCAAAATGTGCTACTCACCAATATAGTTTTTTGACATGGCAACTTCTCTGACCTCAATATGAACAGAGCCTCTTGGTATCTGCACAACTTCCATGTAGCCTAGGACACAGAAGGGAGCCAGCATGAGTCGAGTCCACAGCTCCGTCAGAAAAGGCGTGTTTAGTGACCACTCAGTAGCCAGTTTCCTAATTCTTCACACTTTCTTTGACTTTTCACTACACAAATTATGAAATCTGGGCAGATCTCCCTTTGGGTTAATGAACACCTCTAGAGTATTTTCTCTTTTTCTCTAAAATCACCGCACGATAGCTTTCAACCCTCAGCATGTGTAACATTGTGGCTCACTCTCTTGTTCCCAGCCATGGCTCTTACATCCATGGGCTGTGGGAATTCCCACCTTAAAGAAACATGGCAAAATGAAGCCAAGTAGAAAAGGAATAATATTTACTTAAAATATCTTAGTTAAGCCACATTTAATACTTTAAAGGTCTGAAAGCAATTCAGGGGAAAGCAAAGTCTACCTAAGTAAAGGAATTTTAAAACGGGGCGGGGAGGTCAAACGTTTTGGCTATTCCGAGTACACCAGAGGTGTGAGGAGTCTCTCTACGCACTCACCTCCTCTGGGCAGCGATTTATTGAAGAACCCTTCAATGGCATCGCACGTGCTTCCATCCCCTCCACAGACTCGGCATCTATCTTCCCTAGCATCGGATCCCAAAATATTATCACAGCCTACGTGCTGAAAACAGAGAAGAAGATGCAGTGTGTCACAGAGTGGAATTCTTACCAACCAAATAAGTAGAGCTTATTTATTTTCTTCTTTTTCCAGTAAAGGAAATCAAAGCAGGGAACATTTTCCTTCTTCCACTTTCACCTTCACTCTCCAATAAGTTCTAGCTAACATTTCTCACCACATGAGTTTAAAGAAAAGAATTCTGATTCCCCAGGAATATATTTCTAACCCAGATTTCTTCTTTATTTATAGATACCATGCTTCAGTTCTTGATACATTATAATTTGTTAGCAATGGGCTCTTACTTATACTCTAAATCAAGACATGCAAGAACTAAGAAAAATGGCATTTAGTCCTACTCAGGATTACAACAGTGAGAGTCTTGGCTGGGCTTGACAGTTTGTCTTTTCTAAACCACTGGCTCATTTGGACATTCAATTGTTAGTGTCAAGGATCAGTTGTGGAATTAATGACTGGGTAAATCTTTAAAAGTGAATACCTGTATCTACTAGTTGAATAACATTGCCATGTAGCCTACCCTTCAATCTTTCATTTAATCATAGAAATGTGGATTCTTACATATTTTTTTGTACATATTTCGGTACTTAAATTTGTATATTTGACATTTAGCCATTGATACCAGGCATGTAATCTCTGAATAAAACCTGTACCTGAATCTTTGTTATCTCAAAAGAGTTTTAATACTGTCACAAAAATAACTTTCCTCAAGTACACACACACACACACACACACACACACACACACACACACACACACACAGGGCTATCAGATACATTTGGAGGCCAGAAGCCAGAAGGACAAAAATTATGAGACTAAGTAAATAGACAGTGTTTTTATCTCGTCTTTCTCTATTTCTGGGACTTAGTTTTGCACTTCTCTTTAAAATAAAACAAAAACAAGGAAAAAGTTGAGAACAGTGGTTTTGTGGCTTTTCTTATTGTGGTTAAGATTCACACACAGGTCTGGGAAAACAGCATGGATTTGCTCTCCAGCTCCGAACCAGTCTGGCTAATTCCCTAGAGCAAATGCTTTAAAAAGGTAAAGACTAACTCTATAATAAAAATCATTGTGCATGCTTCAGGTAGAAACAAAATACAGGAGCACAGCTGTTCCACACTTTGAGGAAAAATCATGCTATGAAATATATCAAATAATCTTCCAACGGGAACATACGGTGGCCAAGTAAGAGCTGGATCCTCATTGCCTCTCCTTTCCTATCATCTTATTTGTAAACAGAACAGAATCTGAATATTCTGACAGCTATAGCAATCACTATAAACATAAGTGAATCACATTTGCATGGTGCTTGGATATCAATTCTACCTTTAACTATATATATTGTCATCCTTATTAGAAACTGAATATCTCTAAAATGTAGCCCTTTATTAAAATTGCACACAGTATTCACTAGCAGCTACTATCTGAGAAGAAAGAGAAAACTCTCAAAAACCCAACAGAAAGAAGTGAAATTCATAATCTGAGCAACCTTGCATTCTCCATTGATACAGATGTCCAGTGAGTCCGCATTGCACTGAGTCCCATCAATCACTGCAGGGGCACGTTCAGTGTAGAAATTGTAACCTTCAGCCAAGCAGTTTAGTGCACAAGGTTTTACTCCACCTGGACAAATACAGTAAAAAAGAAACAAATGGAGTGGTTCTCCTAAGAGAAAGTGATTCAATATTATCCATAGCAAATTTACAATTTATTTATTTATTTATTTTTATTTATTTTTAAATATGTCTTTATTGATTTCAGAGAGAAGAAAGGAGGGGGAGAGAGAGAGATAGAAACATCAATGAGGAGAGAGTCATTGATCGGCTGTAGCCTGCAACCCAGGCATGTGCCCTGACCGGAAATCGAACCCCGATCACCTGGATCCTAGGTCGACGCTCAACCACTGAGCCACGCCCGGCTGGGCAAATTTACAATTTATATAAACATCATTCCCTGACTATATCCCTAGATGTGTAGGTTTCCTTCCTCCTTTGTTAAAATTTCGTGTTTATTTTCATTGCTCATACAATTTAATGAAGGTCCTGCTAAGTAGTTTTAAAGTTTAAAAATTTTAGGTATTTCCAGTATATATTTATGATATATTTTGGGTCCAAAGGGGTCACAGTGGAGGTACCTGAATGTTGAAAATGAGGAAATTAAAACGATTTTTAAAAATGAACTAAGGAAATAAAGCTTAAAGAGATTTGAGACAATAACCTCCTAAGACAAATAGGAATTTCTGCAACATATGTGACTTGTTACTGAAGCTGACACAAAAACTCTGCTACTTCAGCAGGGACATGGTAGTTGTAAAATAAAACTTTTTAAACATATATTCCATGAACATGGCTTTAGCATGGAGATCAATTGTTATCAGATTAGCAAATCAAAGATAAAATTAATTACAGCATTAAAATTGAATAGTTAAGATAATATCTAATTTTGTTTTGTGAATACATATAATAATGAGCATTTTCATTTTGTCATTGGAATTCGTATTTTTTAAGCCTGATATAAAAAATAGGCATGAATAGTAGCAATAAACAGAGTACATATCATAACCTCATAGCATATTGGAAAAGTAGCAATAAATACGGATATATTTTATTCAAAACAGTGCATGAAAACGCAACTTATAAATATGTAACTGTTGATTACAAATATGATTTAAGAATACTTTCTGTTGAATCTTCATTTCATGAAGTTTAACACACTAATTATTCTGATAAAATTTCTCTTTGAAATAAAGCAGACTACTTCTAATAAAGAAAATAAGGCAGAAAGATGAAATGGCATGCCTCGGTCTCAGTGAAGGTAGAAACCAGGCTGCTGCAGCGGGAAGGTATGTGAAGCACAGAGAGAAGCCAGAGGGGTGGTGAAGACAATGCTAAGTTAGAGACAGAACATTGCATCCAAGGAGATCACTGTTACAGGTAAGAGTTGTCATGCAAGATGACCCAATACTGTCAGACTTCCTGTTTTTTCAAGAGAAGACGAAAACCTTGGTTTTCTAAATATAAACAGTTCTTGGCAACTCATTCAAAGTTTTCAAAAATACTGTGGAGGTTAAAACATGTATGTAAGTAAAAACTGTTCCTCAACTGTCCATTTACAACCAATGGCCTAAGTTCATGTTTTCTTCCATTTTCTTTGTAGGCTATAGAACTCCCATATAATGTTATTACTAAGCTTATGTTAATGACATATTTTGCTGTCCTGAGCACAGAAATAATGAGTAATAAATAAAAGAATTTTCATCTGAACTGATATTCAAGGTATTTATAATCTATTTTTGTAAGATTCTCATGAATAAAATTGCTCTGAATTTCCATAAATATTACTGGGATTGTTTTCATTACTACCCAATATTGTTCTTTTCCCATTTTTTATTGTAATGTTTTGAAATTTAATGTAGCTTTTTATGTAATGGGCTTTAAAAAAAGAACACTAGCCTTTTATTTACTCAATTTTAATACTAGATTATGTAAGGTAGCATTTGATAGGCAAGACATATAAGTGCTATGGTTGCATTCTTTATCCCACTATATTACATGATAACAATAGGAATAAATTTCCTCCTTTTTCACTGCTCAAGACATATTTAGCTTCTTTTGCTACAGTGAGTTTTCAGAAGAGGTAGTGCTATTATTACAAGAAGGGATTTAAGATGATTCTCTAAATGGAAGGTCACATTACCAATTACCTTCATTTAAAGCTTATTATGAATTTAGGGTTAATTCATTCCACACACAATTACCTAGATTCTAATTATTAAACCTGTGAATTATTTCAGACATGTACTTTTCCTTCTACAGTAAGACAAAACAATCCCAAATATACATGCACCTAGTAAAAGTGACTCAAAAATACATGAAACAAACACATAATAAAGAAAGCAAAGCCATATAATAGTTCAAGATTTTAACACACTTCTATCAGTAATTGACAGAACTAGAGCAGAAAAAATAAAAAAGAATAGAAATGATTTGAATAACACTATCAGCCAACTTGACCTCATGAATCCTATATCCAACAATTGCAGAAAACACATTCTTTTCAAGTATGCACAGAACATTCACCAGCACGGATAATAAGCTGTACAATAAAACAAATTTCAATTAATTTAAAAAATTTATATCATACAGAGAATACTCTAACCATAATAGAATTAAATTATAAATCAATAACAAAAAGTCTAGACTATATCAAATATTTAGAAATAAAAATAACAGTTCAAAGAAGAAACCACAATGTAAATAAAATATTTTGAACTAAAGGAAATAAAAACACATCAAATTTGGGGAACACAGAAGACCAAAAAAAGCCCCATAATAAACAAGAAAAATATAAGAACAACAATTAATGAAAGAGAAAAAAGACACAGAGAAAAGTACTAAAACCAAAAGTTGATAATCTAAAAAGAATAAAATTGATAAACCTCAAATAAGACTGATCAAGAAAAAGAGAGAAAATATATATTATGAATATCAGTAATGAAAGAGCATACATCACTACAGATCCTACAGATATTAAACAGGATAATAAGATAATGTTGTGATCAGATTTCTGTCAATGAATTGGACAACAAAGAAGTAACATAAATATATTGGAGATACAAATTCAAAAACTCACATAAGAATTTAAAAATCCGAATAGTTCTTTTATCTGTTAATGGAGCTGAATCTGTAATAAATTTACTTTCACAAAGAAAATACTAAGCCTATGTGGTTTTACTAACGAAATCTATTCCAAGGAAGAAATAACACCAATGTTACAAACTCTTTCAACATAAATAAGAATTCTATTTCGGAAAGCCAGAGTAACTCTGATACCAAAACTTGCCAAAGACATGATGAAAATATAATTTAGAAATTAGTTCTCCGTATGAATATAGATGCAAACATCCTTAATAAAATATTAGGAATTAAATCCAATAACATAAAAAGATAATAAATCATCACCACATGGGGTTTATCCTGGGAATAAAAGGTTGGTTTGATATTATAAAATCTATCAGGTAATTCACCATATTAACAAAATAAAGAAGAAAATCACATATAATCAACACATGCAAAAATTGTACTGAAGGGTCAAGCCAGCGCATTAAGGCAAGAAAATGAAATAAAAGGATAACATAACTATAATTATTTAGCAAGAAAATCCTAAGGTAACAGAATATAAAGTTAATATGTAAAAATCAACTTTATTTTTATATACTATATTTAACAATTAAAAATTTTTAAACTTTCATTTATAATAGTGTCAAAACACATAAATACACCGAAATAGATTTAACAAAAGCTGTGCAAGACCTTACACCTAAAACTCCAAAACATAGCTGAGAGAAATTAAAGAAAGCACAAATACATAGAGATATATACCATGTTTATAAATTAGAAAATTCAATACAGTATTTGAATTTATCAGTTCTTCCTCTATTGATCTATAGATTCAACATGATAACTAGCATAAGACCAGCATGTTTTTCTGTAGAAATCAACAACAAAATTTATATGGAAACACAAAGCACTTAGAATATCCAAATAACTATTTTTTTAAAAAAATCAAAGTTGGAGGAACTTATGCTACCTGTGTCCAAGTCTATACAATTATAGTAATTAAGGCAGTGCAGTACTAACATGGGATTGGCAAATAGATTGATGAAACAAAATAGAGTCCATAAATACACTATAAATACCCACCATACCCCTAAATTATTTTTAGACTGTACATCTAAATGTAAAGATCAAAAACATGGCTTTTAGAAGAAAACACAAGAAAATACCATCTTGAGTTGAAGTAGGCAATGATTTCTAAGAAAGGACACAGAACACAATAATCATAAAAGAAAAAAAATTTAAAATTAGAATTCATTAAAATCTTATACTCATCTAAAACACCACTAAAAAAGAGGAGAGCCACAGACTGTGAGAAAATATTCATAAAACTTATCTAATAAATGACTACCACTCGAGAATAAAAAGATAAAACACCAACTAAAAAATAGGCAAAGAATTTGAACACTTTACAAAAGAAGATATATAAATGCACATGAAAACATGCTCAACATAATCAGTAATCAGAAATGCAAATTAAAACTACATTGAGACACCATTATACACCCACCAGAAGAAGACTAAAAACATCAAATGTTGGCAGGGATGTGGAACAAACAGAACTCATACATTGTTGGTGGGAGTGTGATATGGTAGAATTACTTCGGAAAAATATCTGGCAGTTTCTTTTAAAACTAAACTCATACCTACCCTATTACCCAGCAATTCTACCTCTAAGTATTTACCCAAGAGAAATGAAAACATATGCCCACAAAAAGATGTGTATGCAAATGCTCACAGCAGCTTATTCATAACAACTGTAAACTAGAAACATCCCAGGTGTCCATCAGGAGCAGAATGGAAAAGCAAACTGGTTATTATAATAGAATACTGCTTAGCAATAAAAAGGAATGAACTATTTACACATGCAAGAATACAGATGGATTTCAAAAATATTGGGCTTAAAGAAGCCTTGCACAAAAGAGTAAATATAATATACTTTCATTTATATGAAGTTCTGGGATAGGCAAAACTAATCTACGGGAAGAAAAAAAACTAGAACAGTGGTTGCCTCTTAGAACAAGTAGGTGGAGGCAGCTATTGACTGGGAAGGACTATGAAGGTAATGGTAATGTTCTAGATTTCAACAGGGTATTACAGGTGTATGCATTTGTCAAAACTCAGGTAAAGTACACTTAAGATTTGTGAGTTTCATTGTACATAATCTAACCTCAAAAGAAAGAAGTAAATAATACTGAACTGTGGTTAATGTTATACATGCTTAAGTATTTACAGGAAAGTATATTATTAATGACTACAATTTACTTTGAAATGCATCAAAAAATAGCATAGATTGATGAATGGGTAGAGAGATGACTAGACATGTAATAAAAAATGGGTACTAAAACGTTAATGGTAGAATCTTGGTGGAGGGTAAAAACTTGTCACTGTAAAATTATTTCAATATTGTTCTATGTTGAAAAAATTTCAAAAATGTTAAAACAAGCAAAAATTTTAAATGTGCATTCAACTTTTCCAAGAAAAAATTCTAACAAAATTTAGTATTTTGAGAGCATAAGCAAACTTTTTGTGCTTACTAAAAAACTGTTGCCTGATACATGCCCAAATTAAAAAGCAAAAATATTTCCCAACACTAAAAAAGAATAATAAAAATCTACGGAAAGATCCTTAGCTTTTTCCCAAGAAAGAACACAGATTTTTTCTGGCCTCTTTGAGTTGATTTATATTGTTACAATTTGTTTGTAAGGTGATAACTCTAAATACTCCCTGATTATAAATGATTATAATATAACGTCCATATACCTCAAGGAAGCCAAGAATTCAAAAATATTATTTAGTTTTATATCAGACCTCTGTACACTGTTAAATAGAATTAGGTTTTAAAAAATGATTTCTGATCATTTGTACAAACATATAAACTTTATTACAGGGAAACTAAACCATGAGACCTTTATAGTACTACAAGCATTTTCCTGCTTTGATTTACAGACACTAACTTTTACTAGTATGTGTAGGAATGTATGTGTATTTGTATGTACTTATATATCTTTTATGTTTGCAAAGCTCTCAAGCATGATGAATGCTCTGCCAGGTTATACATTACCTCCAGTATAGGGTTTCCAGTTATAATACTTTCCACGGAAAGGCATATTGTCAAAGTCTGCACACTGTTTCTCTCGAAAATCTCGGGCCCCCAAAGGACATGGCTAAAATAAAATAAAATCATAAATGGTACGATTGTTGAAAAATTCCAAAACCAAGGGACAATGTCCCTAAAATTAAAATTGCCTGAACTCCATCACATTAGCTCACTGCCTTACTGTCTGGCTAGAATTCTGGCATTTGCTTTACTCTTTTACAACCAGTATTCAGACTGAAGTGTCTGAGTTGTAATCTTAGCCACAGAAGAAATAACTGAAGTCATTTAAACAAAGTTAAGTGTTACGCAGTTTCCATAGAACTTTACACTCAAATGCATGTCATAGTCCACTTTATAATCTATCCATCAGGTATATCTCCTTATAAACACACATAAAGACTAGGAGAAGAAACTAAAACACAAACTCTTTTTTGGTAGCAGTATTTGAGGTCCAGTTACCACAGCTACTCCCAGCTCTTTATTTTAAGGAATCAAGAGGCAGGTTTGTAACATGACATTCAGCACTATTAATTGTGGTTTGGATCCCGACTACTATAGCTGTTTACTGTCTAGCCCTGACAAAAAGCATATTTTTAAGACATGGGATGAACTGGGCAAAATGCTAGGCCTCAAGTTTAAACACCTTCCAACTCAAGGAATTTGGACTTACTAGGATTTACATTTAATCTTTAACATCATAGAAAATAAAATACTAATTTGGTTCAAAACATGTACGTGGGGGGGGGGAGGAGAGAGTAGGAGGTTGAGAGGGTGAAGAGAGAATTATTTGTTTTTAAAAGTTTGGAATGCTTCTTCTACCTGAATTTTTTACAGAGGAAAATCTTGCCAATCTAGCTAGGTGCAGATGCCAAATACCACAGGGCCATCCTAAATTCAGTATTTAACTTCATAAAGAATTAAAAGTATTAACATCTCGCAGTGTTTGAGCAGCTATGACCAAATTTGATGTATCTTTTGGAGTTCTGCATGAAGCTACTGCTTCTGAAACTGACCGAGAAGCATCCACTTTAAATATGGAAGAACAGAGCAAGTCATTAGGAAATATTATTAATTGTGGATAAATGAGTATGCTACACTCTCAGATATCATTTTTACTTTTACCACCTTCCCTTGGAACTCTACATTTACTGTACTTTATACAGTTTTCTGAGGTCAGTACATTGTGACCGGTCCCTTAAAGCATGTGCTAAAATAATAGACCACAATGTGCAAATATTTGCATGGTCATCATTATATCCTATACACTGTGGTTCAAACGTCTCCATATCAAGCCCAAAGCCTCAGATTCTGAAAATAGTGACAGCAGGTCTACATGCTGTTATGAGCCCTGCATTTTAAAATACTTTTCTGCACATTAAAACACTGCAATGCCAAACCAAATGAGTCTGCTTGTCATATTACCCTTCTTACCTGCCTTTCTAAAAAATGCAAACTAACCATGAACCACAGGCTACACAGTGCATCCCGCCGGAAAGATACGCTTCCGGTGTCTTTTGTTTCCTGTGCGCCACTGCTCTCCTCGTCTGGCCGTTTTCAGGGAATCCCACACAAGGACTGAGGTTGTCAGTGGCCTTGCCAAGCAGCAAAACTAGTTTTTAAGCAAATATTGTCCATTGATAGTGAGGTGGAGGGAAGTTGTTTTAAATAGTAAGGTCAGAGAAACTCTCTCAGATAAGGTGGCACTGGAGCAGAGCTAAAAGAAGCTGAATGAGTGCAAGAGTGTTCACGAAACAGTAACCGCAAAGGCCCCAAGGCAAGAGCGTGTTGGGGTGTTCACAGAAGGGCACGAGGATGGACAGGCTTAAGGGGGCTGCAGCAGACTGGCGACTGGACCCCGGGCCTTTCTGGCTCTAGAATGTATCAAGCCAGTGTTCTGCGCCCCTGGTTTCAATGTGTCCCTCAGTGCATGCTCTGAATCTGTGCTGATCAGAAATACCCTCAGGAGGAACTGTATACGCTGGTTCTAAAGAATGAGGGAGATCAAAGAAGAGTTCATTTCTTAAGAAAAAATTACATAAATTTTTGTTTTTGTTTTTGTTTAGGAAGAGTAGAGAGTTTAAAGAGTAGCGCTTTTTAAATTACTTAGGGATTCTAAATGCTGACTCTGCAGAAATCCTAACAGAGCAATGGGCATAAGCAACAAATTCCTTCTGTAAAGCCTGACAGGTTTGCGGCCTCCTAGTGTTAACACTAATCAAGCATCCTCGCCTTTCAAAAAGCGAACAGCAAGGCGCCACATCAATCCAGAGAGCAAAGCAGCAGGTCTCAGCATCTTTTGATCTTAGTATTTTCAAAGAAATTTTAAAAATTAATATTATCATTTTTACCACCACTATTTTTCAGCGATCAGTGTTAAGTTAGCATATTCTATAGACTATCTTATGTTTCCAATTTTACTGATAGTTTAAAAGTAACTCCTTTTGACTTAATACTTTTTATTGGTAGATAAATCTAAAAAGGAATAATTTGTTGGGGGCATAATTTGCTACAGAAAGAAATCTCAGCTTTTGCTGACAAACTTTCCAGTGGCTTTTCTATTACTGGGGTTCTAATCCTGGTTACTCCTGAAAAGCAAGGTGACCTTGCAAGTCCAGGAATCCCTTTGTGCCTTCTTTTTATTTTTTTCATTTGCAAAACACACCCAAATGCCCATACCTTTGAGAGGCGTACATCCCCAAGTGTTTTGCAAATGCTGAAAATACTGGACTTTGCTTATAGGTAAGAGTGAGGAGCAGACTGAGGACGCAAACCCTTCCCTTCCCCTCTCCTCTCCCCGTCCTGCAGGAGGTGGGCAGGGGTAAGATGCAGGGAAAACTGCAGAACTGGCATTTTCTTCTACATCCTTCAAATCTTTCCCACCGTCTGCTTCTTTTTCCTTTCTTGCTTTCACACCGAATGCACTTCACTCCCTCCCTCTTACAACTAGACAAACCTTCTATGCTCCCCAAGTTTCATCCCTTCCTCTGCAGAGCAGCAGCATACACTTGGCTGGTGAAACCCCCCAGCTGCAGAAGCACGAGTGGACTTTGGATTCCAGCCCTTGCTCTGCTGAGCAAGCCATACACTTGACATAGGACTCTGGAGAAGGGACATAGCTTGTCTGTTCACCCGGACAGGCATCTTTTTCTAAATTACACCAAAAAATGCCACGTGTGTTTAAAAAGGCCTTGCTTCCACACCCTCTTTTACAGGTTGCCCACAAAATTCCCAATTTCCTAGCTTTCAGGTACTGTCTGATTATCTCATTGAAGTAATTCATAAGGACATTTCCAAGGTTAAATTTTGTGGTCGATGTAAATAGTGAATCATTGCAACCCCAGTTTTGATCCAACCTACTTATCTCCTGTCCCCCACATAGCTTCTGATTTTTTTGTAGTTTCACCGTACATTTACTTTTAAAGAAACACAAAAGCCTGATAAACCTACATTGTCCAGACAAACTTGAATCTAGCTGACATATTTGATACGGTAATCCTCTATGCAAGTTTTCAAAATTAAAGTTAGTTCTAGTGTGCCTTGTAGAGTCTGGATTTAATTAAAATGCCGTCTATCCAGAGCATAACCCTTTCCCCTAAGCCTATAAATACGTTAAGAAACAAACTTCTACTTGCTAATTTTTTAGACATCTCTTTTAAGAACAAAATAAACAAGCAAGCTCTCTCCTGTGCTTAAATATGGTCCTTATTCTCAAAACTTGATGCACACCATAAAATTCATACTAACCCAAAGAAGAGGAAAGACACGGCCCCTGTGTTTTTTGACATATATAATAGTATATTGTGTATAATATTTATAAGAATAAAGAGGTTGATACAGATTTGTTTTCTGATTGTAACTTGGGACACAGTTATAAACTGCTAGTTAATAGATCAACTCCGTACTTTGGCATCACTCACCCCACACCTCTCCCGGGGAGCAAGCTCGGTAGTTTCAGAATGTTCTCAGCTATCTAGTTCTGATGCAGGGTAAGGTTAGACTATCAGTGTCAAAGGTGATCAAACACTTTCAGAGAAGCTTACCTTGCCACACCCACCTCCCTAGGGCTCGTCTGTTAGGAGAGCTCTAGACCAGTACTCAGAAATTCTATACCTTACTGAATCCCTTCCATGGTACTAGCCTGTTCCTCTTTTAAAAAATGCTTGTCCTGCCTTAGCTGGTTTTGCTCAGTGGTTAGAGAGTCATCCCGCTGACTGAAAGGGTCCCGGGTTCGATTCTAGCCAAGGGCACGTACCTCAGTTGCAGGCTCGATCCCCGGCCATGGTCAGGGCACGTGTAGGAGGCAAAGAATCGATGTGTCTCTTTCACATCGATGCTTCTCTCTCTCTCCTCCCCCCCATCTCTTTCTCTCTCCGGAAAGCAATGGAAAAATATACTCGTGTGAGGATAAAAAAAAAAATACTTGTTTCTTCTCTTTATAAGAGTGATTTGAAGATCTAATGCACAAAAGTACTTTTTAATCTACAGAGCATAAATGTATATAAAATAATAACTACTCTGTATTGAGTACACATTAAGTATTAGGAGTAGCACTAGATAGTTTACATGTGTTTCTCTTTTAATTCTCAAACAGCCTGCAACTTTGATATCATCATACTCCATCTATATAAGAGTTCCCCGAAGCTTCCTGAGGTTAGGTGTCATGCCAAGGTCAAATAGCAACAAGTGTTATAGTCAGGATTTAAATTTAAGTCCATTTAAATCCAAAGTCCATACGTTTTCACCACAATCCTGCTTCTAAATACAGGCTATGCTTTTTCTGTGTTCCACAACCAAGGCAATCACACCACTTAATGACCTGAAGCAATGGACTGAAGAAGAAAAACATTACAGAATGCCACGCCCTTCTAGCACAGTTGACTGAGGGAAAAAAACCCCAGGAAAGGTACAATCTATGCTTAAATTCTAGAACAGACCACAGATGACCTGGAAAACCCCCTTTGGCTCTGTAATTTTTTTATAGGTTTGATGCATAAAATAAAGGAGGGAAATGAAATATTTAAGATGCAGGAATATATGACTTTCTATATCAGCCAAAGTGGAACTTAG